GACGGAAAGCTGCCTTCACCGTCTTGCTTGACGACGAACCTCCCGACCGCGGTTTGGAGCGACGTGCTTGCGGCAATAGGAACGAAACTAGACAAGTTTCCGTCACCAGACGGTGGTGGCGCCACCAGTTGCGACACGAGCGTCACTCGCGTCACTTCGACAAGCATGTCTTGACCGTCGTAACTCATCACGTAGCAGTCGCCGCCGCCGCGTTGACTGATTGTGCTCTGGCTTTGGTATTCGGGGCGTTTGCGGAATAGCGGGTAGACCGACCCTCCCGTGAACTTTCCTAGGTTCTGAGTCATGGAAATGTTCGGACGGGATGCATGTACTGGATGGCGCATCGCCGAGCCGACAGAGCCAAAGTGTAATGCGATGCTTGAAGTCGTTGTACTCGACCCCGCTCTCCATCGAATGCCCCGGCGGCTAACGATAGCGACGAGTTTACTCCTGCAATCTCAAGGATGAGTCAAGAACACCTCGATGGACTTGAGCGCTTGGCCGGATCCCAGTCGCTGGGACGACATTCGTCGGGACGATAACATCTTCGACGCGACACTGCTTACGCGGGCACGCACCGCAAAGAGATTGGTGTTGCCCGTGACGACCCCCAGCATCTTTCGCAGGACGGGTACGATAAACGGCAGCAAAGCGCATGAAACCATGTACACGCTCATGGCAAGCGACGAATCCATCGATGGAGTACACTGGCTAGTTGCATCGCATGCACGCACAACGGAAAAGATCGACGTGAAAGAGTCAATCAATGGCGCATTGTGCGACAGCACGGCCACAACGCCGCCTCCACCAACCAGCGATAGAAGCGCCAACAACGTCGTGTTGGCAGGGGCCGGGAGCCACTGCATGTAGCGCGGGAACCGCGACATGATCGAGTTAAGAGCCGTGAGTGCGGTGTACGCGCACCACACCGTGCGGCTCAGGTATAGCATGCCCAAGGCAAAGTGCAGAACATCCGACGTTTGCGACACTCGCAAGCAAGCCAGCCCCACGTATTCTGCGCTCATTGCTATGTCGAGGACGAACAACCAGCAAACGATGGGGTGCGACAGCACTAGGCACGTCGGCTCGCCGACAACAATCTCGTACCGCACCGCGAGCGCGTGGCCGTGCAGTGGCAAGCGCTTGAGTTGGTTGACCAAGTGCCGGACGTGGATGTAGTACGCAGTGTACGCAATGCGTGCGATCAAGACGCAGAGAAGAAGGCGCACAAGCAATTTGGCAAGGCGCCACGATGTCGGACGAATATCAACGACGTAAGCGTAATTGACGGCGGTGAGAGTGGAGTACGACGCGTTGTGCGAGGAAAACTGTTCGGGTTGCACAGCGATCCACAGCACCAACATCGATGATGGCAGGTTCAAGGTTGTCAATTCCCAAGCGTAAACCACCGAATCGTTGGAGCAGGGGCCACCGAGGATCCAGGCAGCTTTCAATTGCGGCGGAAAGAATATCGCCCCTGGCATGGCGTAGAGGACCGAGGTTGCGTTAGGAGGCGCCGAGCACGGTTGCCCAACCATCACGCACGCAACATCCACCATGTACCGAGGATGGGTTTGATATGCCACATGAGGTGTTAATGTCGTCGAGTTTGTGAGCCCAACGAGTTGCTCGAGGTAGAGTGCGAGCGCGGAAGCGTTGGTGTGTGGCTCAACGAGAGGCTGGAAGAGGTCGCTGGGACGATAGTACTCGACGGGGTGGAATGGCGACACCTCAGACAAGTATGGCTTGAGCGGCATCAGCACCAAATACACAAGGAAGATGAATGTCAGTGCGAGGGATTTGCGGTTGACCTTGACGGATGTCATGCAGTCCAATGCTTCCCCGAAAGGTGCGTTGTTTTTGTTGCGACCTCCGTGAACCGCACACAGCCATCTATTGCCACGCAGAGTTGGAAATAGCTGCCAATGGCACACACGTTTAGTTGCATCTCGTGCTTGAAGTGCGGCGTCCTGCAAAAAATCGCTTGGTGAAGCCGAAGTCGGGTTGCGAGGGCACGTGGACGCGTCCGTTTCCATGGGACTCAGCCGGACGAGCTGCGTTTTCCACGGATCGTCGAGCTCCAATACCTCTAGGTCGTTATTCATTTAACCTGCCTGATACGGAAGTAGCGCCTCGATCAACATCAAGCCAACGGACTGACCTGTCCACACAACGCGAGACAGGTTGTCGCGGTTGGTCGGTTCGGTGGCCACGCACAAGCATGGAAAGAACATGGAATCGAGAGACGCTGACCGACCATAACATCACAGCCCAAATAACTTCCTTCAGGGAATGCACCGCTTTGGTCGGTATGGCCGGCCCAGGTTGTGTCGGCGATGTCCACTTTGCTCGAGAAAACGTGACTAGCGAGGCACTCCCTTGCACAGGTGTCCACCGAGTGCGTGCGGCCTTGCCCCGGTTATCGTTGATAGCCCATATTCTATCATCACATTTCCCACAGTCTCACCAAACCCACGACATGAATCTCATATTGAAACCAAGGTGAATTCCGATCCGACATGACTCTGGGATACACGGGACATGTTCGGTGCTGCTACCGTTGTCCAGACAAGAACCTGAGCACACATGCGCGTGGCTATTGCATTTCGTCCGAACCTCACATGGATTGCGCAAGGAATATTGCGGCAGCCATCATGATGTAACTGCCATCGTGGAGTGACCGTCACGATGGACATCGAAACGTTTTGGAACCAGTTACGAAACGGCCACAATGAAGTAACACGTTGAGATCCTTGGCGGATATAAAGCTCGGGGGGGCTATGTCCATGCAGCGTCAACTCGCTCATAGCACATGCTAACGCGGCAGTGTTCGGCGAGAGAGGTAGGTGCGGCGTTCATGGCCGGGCGTTGACTGTTTGCTCCGTTGTTGCCACCCCTGGGTACTTCTAGCAGTTATAGATCAATCGTGTGACCAATATTAATACATGATGCGAAACTTTAGGACATACCACGTTTCATAACAGAACTCATGATTTATTCGGAGTTATAAACTCCTGAAAGTATCGTTTTATTCGTGCTACAATCAGGAATATATCAAATCCAACTGTGTAGAATTCCGCATACAGATTCAGAAGAAAATGCAAAAATAATTGTTTTGAACATGTGCAAAACAATAGGACACATTTGAAAATTCCCGCCCATCATCGATTTCAAGGGCTCCACGTGGCCCAAAACATTCTCTAGACGTCATTTAACAAATGACAGCCTCGGGAGCGGATCTACACAGCCGCATGGGACGCTCGTCTCAGCTCACAGAGCTCGAGCGTGGCCAAATTGATGTGTGCGTCGAGTTTGGCCTCAGCCTGAACCAGACTGCCCAGTTCGTGAAACGGAGCCGCCACGCAGTGCAAAACTACCTTGCGGACGCCATGTCGTACGGCCAACGCTTCAGAGGAGGCCGCCCTTCAAAGTTGAGCCAAATAGACGAGCGCCGAATTTTTCTTGCCATGGCAAAAGATCCCAAAAGTTGCGCAAATGTTAAGCATGACCTTGAACTCCACGTCCACCGTACGACCATATCAAGGCTAAAGAACTCGTCAAAAAAGTTCGACTACATCAAGATGAACAAAAAGCCCAAGCTCACAGAAACACACATGGAGAACCTTTGTCGATGGGCTGAAAAGCACGTAGACTTGGGGTGGCAAGGGTGGGCCGAAATTTTGTTTTCCGATGAAAAAAGTGGAACCTGGATGGCCCCGACGGCCTAAAGTACTATTGGCACTGCGTTGGGCGCAAAAAGAAGACTGTATTTAGCCGACAAAATGGTGGGGGCTCTGTGATGGTCTGGGGTGCAATCTGGGCGGACGGCAAGAGCTAGCTTGCCTTTCTCGAGGGGCGCCAGAATTCCGGCGACTACATCGATACACTGTCCAACTA